TTAGTTAGGGTTTCCATGAATTTCAATTCNCTCTCAATTCATACACCAAGTAAATTTAGACTTGCGCTTTTATGGGGATTTGAATCCACACCAGAGATTTGGATACGGTTCTTCCAAACAACTAAGATCCGTCCCACCAACCAACTACGTTTTTATCGTCCAGGGGCTTGAACCCTTGACCTCAAAAAAGTAAAGTCTTTACAAGACAAGGAGTATCATTAGACTGAAGATCACAACATTTTCATTGAAAACAACAACACATAGGAAAAGAAACAAAAAAGTGCACTTCAAAGAAATTGATCAATTACATANTTCACCTTAACTCCTTTTGGTTTTTATAGTCCCTGTTTAGTTAGGGTTTCCATGAATTTCAATTCAAGGTGGCACACCTTCCTCTAATTAGGCGGCTCTAGTTGGGAAGTTGTTGATATCTCTCTAGCAATTCCTCTTGTGAAGCCTATAATGCCTAAATTGTAGGCATCTTTTTAGCACCACGTTACTGTTTTAAACAGCTCGGTCGTGACGAGGACTGAGCTCATTCCTTCCTTTTCGAGCTTTCTGATCAACTCGGTTGCTATTTGATGACAACTTGGTCGGATCTCATCCTCTACTCGGCCGGGACAACTTAGTTGTCTGTTCGGTCAAAGTTTATTAGCTACTAGGTCGGACCTATTTTAGCTCGGCCCAAATAGCCTACCTACTTGCTCTGCTCAGCCCGGATGACCTAGCTACTTGCTCTGCTCAGCCGGATAGCCTAGCTACTTGCTCTGTTCGGCCCGGATGACCTAGCTATTTGCTCTGCTTGGCCGGATAGCCTAGCTACTTGCTCTGCTCGGCCCGGATCAACTTTAGCTCGGTCGTAATAGAGTCATTGCAAATAACTATTTTCAGCATGTGCAACCTGCCACGCGTCCAAGTCTAATTGTCAAATGATGGTCAGAATTTATCGACCCCTTCAATATATATAACAAATAAAATTATTAAGTGAAATACACTTTTGTTTTAATTATTATTTTTGTAAGTTTTTATGTTTGATTCATTTGTTATATAATAAGTTTTCAACATTCTTGTAAATCCATTTGTGAAGTTTTATGATTTTTTTTTAAATTTTTTTCTTAAAATCATAGAAACTAATTTTATTGGCGGGGGAGATGGAGGCGGGAACGAAGCTGAGGATCAAAATTTACCCGTTATGGCGGGGACGGGGATTAAAATTTCCCATGCTAATGAGAGTGAGGTGATGGTAAGGAACATTTTTGAAGTGGATATAGAGATGGAGACTATTCCCCTATTCCTACCCGATCTATTGTCATCCCTACTAAAGCCATCTGAAGGTACTCTAGTTTAACTTTGTGTTGTTTTTGTGTAACACAGATAAACATCAAATCAAATCTAAATTTCATTGTATTATACTGGTAAATTTGTTGTAACTCGTCACATACCAATTTTAGAATTAATGGGAACAAATATTTTCTTAAGGAAAAAGACACTATAAAGTTCCTTGAAGCATTCAACTCTTTCTTCTTCCATTACAAAATTCAACTCAAACATTTGTGAGTCAAAATCTCTTTTTCTAGGCTTCAAACATAATCAGAGGAAAACCCAAAACATGAAGATCAGAATCTACACTAATAGGTGGGGCTGTAAAGAAATTGGTGATCTAGCAATTATTCACTAAGAGCATCTCTAAGAGAGTAGTTAAAGGATACAATAACTTTAAAATCTAGATATTTAATCCCAAAATTCACTCTAACAGAACATTACCAAATCATCTAAAATAGTATTTTACTACAATAATACTCTCTATATTTAGAGTATCATTGTAGTAATATGTATAAATTCTTTATAATATTTTCTCTCTCCTCCTTCCCTTTTCTCCATTCTCTCCCTTTCTCCTTTTCACTATTCCCAAAGAAAAATAATACAAAAGGAATGAGAAATAATATTTAAATGAAATAGTTAAAAATATAAAAAATCTATTAGAGTGTGCATTGAAAAAGTGAGTAGCTAAAATAAAAAATATTATTTTTTGAGTAGTTATAACTAACTTTTATTATTGGAGATGCTCTAATACATGCATTTATGAATGAGTTTATATCACGACTAACATTTGACGGTGCATATCCCTTAGAATTGTAGACCAAACTGAAACCATTAATAATTCCGTGAAACTTAACTATCAAGGTCAGAAGTCATCAATATAAAAAATAAAAAATCTCAAAATCATTTTTCTTTTGTATACATGTTATATTGTATCTCTTCCTTTTTATGCATCAAATGCAATTTTCAATTTGTATACTTTTCCAGATGAAAAAACACCAAAAAAATATAAAGTAATGAATGTAGTATTACACAATGTACAATTTTTTTTTTTATTTTTCGGAGTAGAGGCACGCTTATATTGCCCAGACTCGTGAGTCCGAGTAAAACCGAGGGTAAAACCCAAATGCATTAATCGGTCCCTCAATTCATACACCAAGTAAATTTAGACTTGCGCTTTTATGGGGATTTGAATCCACACCAGATATTTGGATACGGTTCTTCCAAACAACTAAGATCCGTCCCACCAACCAACTACGTTTTTAGCGTCCAGGGGCTTGAACCCTTGACATCAAAAAAATAAAGTCTTTACAAGACAAGGAGTACCATTAGACTAATGGCTCGTTAGTGAAGATCACAACATTTTCATTGAAAACAATAACACATAGGAAAAGAAACAAAAAAGTGCACTTCAAAGAAATTGATCAATTACATACTTTCTTAATTCACAGCTTATAAGATGAAATAAAATGATATATACCAGCAGATTAGAGATGGTAAACTTGTACAAAGGGACAGTTAAGAATACAAACTCCTTAATTCAACCAAATCTTCAACATAAAGCTCAACCAGGACCATATTCCTTCTCATTTTCTCGCTCTTATGGGGATAGAGGGTTATCGAGGGCAAGTACTTGATCTAAGCCACGAAGCATCAAGCATCCAATCTATACTATTACATATAACAATCAAATTCCATTGGAGAAGACTTAGAAAGTCTTCCCTCCAAAATACTAAATTATCATAATTTTGAATTATTTAAAAGGTCTCCTCTGATTAAACTATTCCAGGTGACTTATATAACCACTTCTATCATCTTTGTTAACTAATCAAACACTTGAATTTTCCACAGGTAACTACTTCATGTTTAATTTTTAGGAAAATTAAATGACCCGGCAGATAGCGATATAGAGTTGGCAAAGAGAGGTGGGGTAGGACATGACGGTGAAGAGAGATTGTAAATCTCGTGCATGCAACCGGATGACCTCTAGTTATCATATTAAAAGGAAGAAAACATAGTATTGATCGTACGTATAATCTATACACAACTCAAGAGACAAAAGGGAGAATAAAAAGTTTCAAACATTTTGTAGATCCCAAGTTTACGGGGCATTGAAAATTGATTTTGAATGGTGTGGTAGTCGCCAAACAACAAACATGCCAACTCTTGTTCTTTCCCCATGTATATTCAATTCAACTCAACTCAACAAAATCTTTTCTTAATCTTTTTGGGGTCGGCCATATGAATCTTTCTTCTTCATTGTGCTCTATTAAAGATCATGTTTTCTGTTAAATATAACGTATCATATATTTATTTGCTATTTCATTTAAATTTAATTTTGATTGTCCTCTATTCTTAAATTACCGTCAATTGCTATCATATCACTCTTTCTCATCAATGTCATTATAGGTTGTCTATAAATCTATCCAAACGACCTAAGTCGATTTTTCCTTAATTTATCTCCTATATGTACTACCTCTACTTCTTTGTGAATATATTAGCTTCTAATGCTATCATTCTTAATTTTACAACACATTTATCTTAATATTCTCATTTTTGTCTCACTAATCTTGTGAACATGTTATTTCTTAGTTGTCTAACACTCAGTACAATAAAGCGTAACGGGTCTTCTGGCCATTCTATCAAACTTTCTTTTTAGCTTATGGGATATGCGTCTATCAAATAATACACTGGATGCATTTCTCCATGTAGTCCATCCCGCAATAATTCTATGCTTACACGGAGCTACTACTGGGTCAGGGAGCCCATGGTCCACCCTAAAAATAAATTTTTTTATTACCTATATATATATATGTGTGTGTGTGTTATGTATATTTTTAAGTTGTTTTAGTGGTGCCCACCATGACCCACACTCCTTGTTATACTCTCTCATAACTTTTCTTCAAACTCATATATAAAATCATGAGCTTAGAACAATAGATTGGATTCCACGTTGGAATTTGTGGAAATGAAGGTGCGCACTCCTTCATGCTAAGCTAAAGAGCCTAGGTGATAAATGCAACTTCAGTGGGACTATACTCCCAATAGCTTATTAGTATAGTGATAGACTTATAAGTTTTGAACTCAAATATTATATCCAATTGGGATTGATCGTTCAAAAAAAGTAATACTAGTTAGATTTAAATATCTGACTTAATTTGTTGATTTAATGATGTGACTTTAGTAGAACTATTGGATCAACACCAAGTTCTAATGTTTGATAGAGTCAACAGTCAATCCAAAGACCATAGTAAATTAGATCAACAAATTAGATTANGGCTTTAGTGGAACTATTGGATCAACACCAAGTTCTAATGTTTGATAGAGTCCACAGTCAATCCAAAGACCATAGTGAATTAGATCAATAAATTAGATCAACAAATTAGATTTCAATAGCATTGGTCATTCAAAAAAGGGTATAACTACTTATGTGGGAAAAAAACAGTTAATACAATTAGGAAAGCTCTAAAATAGACAGCCCATTATAAAAGTTATAATGGGGAAGCCTGCCAATAACGAGGACAAGCACTCACTAGGCTAAGCGTCTGCAAGCTCGGGTTAACTCCCAACTGGTGGTAGCTAAGCAAATCAAAGGAGGATACAAAAGGAAGGATAGCAGAATGGCAGCCTATTTGTCCAAAATCAAAAATTACATCCCGTAGTTTGAAAACTTCAGCATAATGGAAATTCCACGAGCAGAGAACTCCCATGTTAATTCTTTAGCACGATTAGCCTCATCCTTCCATGGTGACCTCCCTCAGATGATTCCAGTAGAGCTCCTCCTGGCGCCTAGCATAAAGGATGAAACTTTACCTTCCGAAAAGGTGGAAGCTTCGTCAAAAGGCAAGCAGGTATGTGATCATGAATGGAATCTTATATAAAACAGATTTCTTCTTAACCTTCCTACGTTGNAGATGATTCCAGTAGAGCTCCTCCTGGCGCCTAGCATAAAGGATGAAACCTTACCTTCCGAAAAGGTGGAAGCTTCGTCGAAAGGCAAGCAGGTATGTGATCATGAATGGAATCTTATATAAAACAGATTTCTTCTTAACCTTCCTACGTTGCCTAGAGTCCAAAGAGGTGGAGTATGTTCTTAAATAGATCCACGAAGGAGTTTGTAGTAACCATCTAGTAGGAAGAGCTCTAGCTTATAAAGGCAGGAGTACTATTAGCCCACTATGCAGAAGAATGCTCTAAGATTTTCAAGAGATTATGTTAAGTGTAAGAGATTCGTCAACATATCCATGAACCCTCCTCAGGAGCTCACNTCCTTAAATAGATCCACGAAGGATTTTGTAGTAACCATTTAGTAGGAAGAGCTCTAGCTTATAAAGGCAGGAGTACTATTAGCCCACTATGCAGAAGAATGCTCTAAGATTTTCAAGAGATTATGTTAAGTGTAAGAGATTCGTCAACATATCCATGAACCCTCCTCAGGAGCTCACCTCCATTACTAACCCTTGGCCTTTCACATGGTGGGCCATTGACATAGTCAAACCTCTACTTATAGTAAAAGGATAGAACAAGTTTGCAATCGTGACCATTGACTACTTCACCAAATGGTCAAAAGTAGAGCCACTAGCCACCATTACAGACCATAAGCTTAGGACCTCTGTTTGGAAATCCATCATTTGCCCATTTTGCNAAGAGCTCACCTCCATTACTAACCCTTGGCCTTTTACACGGTGGGCCATTGACGTAGTCAAACCTCTACTTCTAGTAAAAGGATAGAACAAGTTTGCAATCGTGACCATTGACTGCTTCACCAAATGGTCAAAAGTAGAGCCACTAGCCACCATTACAGACCATAAGCTTAGGACCTCTGTTTGGAAATCCATCATTTGCCCATTTTGCATTCGTAGAATGCTGGTAACTGACAATGGCAAGTAGATTGATAATGATGCCTTCAGAGAATTCTACTTTTAACTAAGAATTCGAAATCATTACTTATCTCCCATTCACCCTCAGGCCAATGCGCAAGCTGAAGTAACAATCAGAACATTGCTCACAAGCCTCAAAACAAGGNAAAATTCAAAATCATTACTTATCTCCCATTCACCCTCAGGCCAATGGGCAAGCTGAAGTAACAATCAGAACATTGCTCACAAGCCTCAAAACAAGGCTTGAATCCTCAAAGGGTTTTTGGGTAAAAGAGCTTCAAGCATCTTGTGATCGTATAGGACCACTACAAGGTCTCAAACAGGGGANAGAATTCGAAATCATTACTTATCTCCCATTCACCCTCAGGCCAATGCGCAAGCTGAAGTAACAATCAGAACATTGCTCACAAGCCTCAAAACAAGGCTTGAATCCTCAAAGGGTTTATGGGTAAGAGAGCTTCAAGCATCTTGTGATCGTATAGGACCACTACAAGGTCTCAAACAGGGGAAACCCCATTTTCCTTAGCCTTTGGAATAGAAGCAGCGATCCCAATTGAGGTGGGATTGGAAACCTGTAGGATCCAACACTTCAATGAGGAAAATAATGGAAAATAGCTCAGGTCAACTCGGATCTTGTAGATGAAAGAAAAGAACTGGCCCAAACAAAAGAGGCTACCTATCAAAATCAAACTGCACGTTACTACAACAAAAAGTTTAAGGTCCGAGAATTCTCCCCAACGATTATTGTACTTAAAAAGATCACTCTAACTACCAAAGACCCCAAAAGAAGGAAAANCAGATCTTGTAGAGGAAAGAAAAGAACTGGCCCAAACAAAAGAGGCTACCTATCAAAATCAAACTGCACGTTACTACAACAAAAAAGTTAAGGTCTGAGAATTCTCCCCAATGATTATTGTACTTAAAAAGATCACTCTAACTACCAAAGACCCCAAAAGAAGGAAAATGAGCCAAATCAGGAAGGACCATACCAAGTCAGCAAGATGATGAGACTTAAAACTTATGAATTTCAAACTTTGGAAGTAAGATTTCTGATGCNAATGAGCCAAATCAGGAAGGACCATACCAAGTCAGCAAGATGATGAGACTTAAAACTTATGAATTTCAAACTTTGGAAGTAAGATTTCTGATGCATGCCTATAATGCGGAGCACCTCAAGAAGAACGATGGTCCACCTTGTTGAGGTTCTAGTAGCTAGTTACTTGCTCTCTGTAACATTTTCCTTCTTAAGGAAAGTTTAATAAATTTCATTCCTTGAGCTCAACAGTTAGCAAACATCTTTGAACCTTGAGTTAGCTCAGCTCAAGATGACCAAGCCTTCAAAGAAAGCACCCTCACCATAAGGTTGAGTAATGAAGGGTATCCCAAAAACTAAGGCACCTAGCTTGACAAACAGTAGGAGAGACCTGGGACCTTTGACTCACTGGTAAAAGACCAAATCCTACCTAGGCTCGTTAGGGATCAACTTGGCCAAACCACCAAAAACATAGTTGACATCACCAAAAAAACTCAACAAAATACTCTTCAAATTAAAAGTAAGAATAGAGAGGAACACTTCTATGATTGGAAANCAAAAAAACTCAACAAAATACTCTTCAAATTAAAAGTAAGAATAGAGAGGAACACTTCTATGATTGGAAATCTTGCAAGCTGAATCTCCGAACGAAGGCTAAAAGCCTCGTTAACGAGAGCAATGCTAAAAGACCAAAAAACTAACTACAAAACAAGAAATGAATAATATGAAAAACACACTGCACATAAGCAAAAGAAAAGCCCCAAGATTCGGGAAAGGAAAAGTGTTATTTTCATTTAGAAAAGAAAATCATATTTAAAGATTACTTTANCTGCACATAAGCAAAAGAAAAGCCCCAAGATTCGGGAAAGGAAAAGTGTTATTTTCATTTAGAAAAGAAAATCATATTTAAAGATTACTTTAAGAGAGAGAGGGAGAGAGAGAGCAACGCGGTATCAATCTTCACCATCCTTAGCTAGGGTAGCCTGGCCATTAGTGGTACTCCCCTTTTCACCTCCAACCTACTCAAAGGGAGCATCTTCATCCTCCAATTTGATTGAGGAGAAATCCAAATCTAGAAACCTTGTTACAACCTAACGATGAAACTCCTCAAAAACAGCATTGTAATAGCTCATATCAAACTAAGTGTACTCTATGATTTTTGGAAAATGGCCACAACAGTGGCCTTGGCTTCGTCAAACAAGCATTAGTAATGTTCGTGAGAGGCTGCAAGTTGGTCTGCAAGTTCTTTCTCCTTCTCTTTGGCCTTGTTCACCTCTTCCTTAGAGACCCTCAAGGCCTCCTCCAATCCACTGTTAGAAACCAACTCAATCACCAAAGAGTTCTAGATATAGTCCAACTCAACACAAATTTTCACCAACTCCTCTTCATGAGATGCTAGATTTTTTTTAGCATAAAGGGAGCGCTCAAAAGCACGTCCAAGTTCCTCTTTTCAGGGGTCTCCTTCATGAAAGCAGCAAAAGTCATCGCAGTAGCCAAGATGGAAACCTGATAGAAGGCAAACATACCAAGCTGATAAGAACAAAGTCTTGGAAGCTTTTCAAATAAAAATATGCATTGCTCCACATATTAATTGAAGCATTGCCAAGTTTGGCGGCAAGATCAAAGGTGAGAATGCCCACCACAGGCTCGGGCGTAGGCAATTTTCCTTCTAGAATCATTTTCCTTTTATTGGCTTGGGTAGTGTCAAGAGAAGATTCAATGTCCAAGGGAATCACTTCAGAAGAAACAGGAAGATAAATATTTGTTGTAAGAAATCCGCCTGAACTTAGCCTTTTAGTAATGGGAAGAGAACAACTAGTCAAACCCTCAGAAGATTTATGGGCCTAAATTCTTGTAGAGTTTTCTTGTTAATTTTGGGGGGAGACCTGCAAAATAGAGAATCAGATTTAAAAATGTTGATCAAATAAGCCCTATAATCTAAAGAAAGAGGTTAGCAACCTACTTTTAAGGGGCACAACACCTTCGACCATAGTCGTGGAGGGTGTAGGGCCAAGTTGATTTTTAGAGAGGTTAGAATCAGTAACCAGAAGGTTAATTCTTTCATCATGTATCTTTGAGCTACATTCAATCTGTTCGAAAACTCCTATAGAAGGGTAACGTTATCAACTGTGATGAAGAAAAATGGTCAACCCTATTTTCCTTATGCAAAAAGGATGGCAAGAAATAAAATAAACTAACCGGAGGAAGGAAGGCAGGGTTCACTAGCGTGGAAGAATTCTAGTAAGGTTGGCTACAAAAGGTTCAGGAGAACTGAACTCCCAAACTGAACCTGAAATGAAGAAGAATCGATCTTTCCATTCCTTTGAAGCAGTAGGAATCTTGGTCAACATGTTATTGTTGATGGGTCCCTTAGTAAGATGGTACCCAACCATAACTTGAACCAGCACCGGCTTTGATCTGAAATCAATGCCACACCTCCCTTACTGAGGGGAATACAGTAGCACCAAGGGCAAAGCCCCAAAAGGACCCTTAAACCTATCAAGATCCTCCAATTAACATGGGTGAGCTGGGTAAAAGGGTGAATAGGAAACAAAAGCCCAGAGATTATTGCGAACTCATAGAAATAAACCCCGCTGTCANGAACCAAGGGCAAAGCCCCAAAAGGACCCTTAAACCTATCAAGATCCTCCAATTAATATGGGTGAGCTGGGTAAATGGGTGAATAGGAAACAAAAGCCCAGAGATTATTGCGAACTCATAGAAATAAACCCCGCTGTCAATGAAATCACAAGCTCTTTCATCATTCGTGGGGAATCTCAATCGAACAAAATCGAGGATAGAAAGTCGAATCCGAATTTTCTCAAGATCTTTTTTTGGTAATGCTGCTACGGACCCTCTTGCTATAGTAATCTAGTTGACCAGGTTCCTTTGTAGGAAGATCCTCCAAGAAGAGTTCAGGAACTTCGTTTGTAAGGTT